TTTTGTTTTAGTTGCATTTTTCTTTAAATCCGTCCGTTACAAAATAATCCTTCGGATTCCGATGAAAAAACTACTTGATACGCCCATGTAGACCACAGTACCACAGCTGTCAAAAGTTTGTAGATACTGGCTTCAAACAAAGCTTGTGTTAAACGGCGCTCGTTAGGTATCTATTTTTCATTTGTTTATCTGAGGGAATACCCCATCTTTCAATTTGTAATTTTCAAAAATAATTCATAAATAAAATAATCCATGCGGGAGTATGCTAACCCCATTCTTCAATTTGTATTCCTGAAAAACAATAAATATTTCATGAGAATACGCTGACCCCATCTTTCAATTCGTAATCCTAAAAATAATTCATAAATAAAACATTTCATGGGAGTACCCCATTTTCAAGTTGTAATCTTGAAAAATAATTCATAAATAAAATAATACATGCGGGAGTATGCTGACCTCATTTTTCAATTTTTAATCCTAAAAATAATTCATAAATATTTCATGGGAGTATGCTGACCCCATTTTTCAATTTGTAATCCTAAAATACAAAATTCATAAATATTTCATGGGAGTATGCTGACCCCATCTTTCAAGGCATATTATTCGCCCTTGAGACAAAATATAACAATAAACATGGGAGTAGGCATATTATTCGCCCTTGAGACAAAACAATACACATGGGAGTATGCTGACCCCGTCTTTCAAGGCATATTATTCGCCCTTGAGACAAAAAAAAATAACACTTAAGATGGGTGTATGCTGACTTCACCTTTCAAGGCTTATTACTCGTCCTTAATACATAAAATATAACATTAAAGATGGGTTTATCCTGACCCCACCTTTTGTAACGGTTGAAACCGTTATTTAGTCCCAAACATTGTAACGGTTGTAACCGTTTTCGTTATTTTGACGCAAACATCTCTACCCTAATGTCATTTGTCGTTTATGCCTTGTGTGAACAGTTGGTAATTCATTTCGATCTATAGCTGTCATCGAGCAAGTTGAATTATTGAATTTTAATTATCTTTTATCTTGGACATCCGATGTACTAATTATCTTTAATATTTTTAATGGCCGTCTGATTTTAAAAAGGTAAGTTTTCTACCGATATTTTGTTGAAATTATATATTTAGTACAAGAATGTCTAATTAAAATGTCAAATTTGAAACATAACCTCAACATGAAAACACAAGAAATCACATGTTTTATATAATTTTATCTATTATTTTGTTAGGAAAGAGATACTATGCTTTACTATATTTAAATATGTTAAATAAGATTTTCCTTTTCATATTAATTTTGGTCTTTGTGAAGCTATTCAAATAATAGTATTAAATTGTCCATTTGATTGTAAAAAGCATTCTGTTTCCTATATAACTTCCTAGTCCCTCTCTTGATATTTTTACCTTTTTCCTTGTAGCCTGGGTGTATATAGATGGTTTCAGTAGAAGTTCTATAGAAGTTTATCGAAAAAGATTGTTTGCAAGAACGTTCCAGCTGCATGTGTAGAAATATTGAAACTTAGAAGTTTGGTTCCAGCTACAGAGGTTGTTTCAAGTATTTCAAGAGGTTTAGTTCGAGCCATCCAAAGAAGTGTACGAGATTTAACTTTACCTATGAAGATTTATCAGTTGGTGATATCCAAGCCTATCATACAAATCCCCTGGACCTGCTACCTGTTATACCACAGATAAGTTTCAATAAATCATTTAAATTTGAATAAGTAAGTCTCTGCGAATTAGAATTTGTCGCTACCTTATCTAATACCTTATTAATTATCATATCTAAATGGTTAGTGATTTTCTATATTTTATCACTAATCGATAATCAAGTTTAGTAAGTTTTAAATATAGTGGCGCTCAACATTCTTTTTCAAAGTAATACGAGTTGTTTAATAACCTGACCCACTCCCCAAATAATAAGAGCCTAAAACACTATAAAAATAGATAAAATAACAAGATCATATTACACTTTCAAGGCTTATTATTCGTCATTAATACATAAAATATAACATTAAAGATGGGTGTATGCTGGCCCCACCTTTCAAGGCTTATTACATCCTTGAGATATAAAACATGACATTAAACATGGAAGTATGCTGACTCCATGTTTCATGGCTTATTATTTCATCCCTGCAACAATATAAATCAAAGCAGTCGAAACAAAACATTTACTTTACCTTCAGTTTCAAAAAATTGATAAAGTCTTGCAAATCAGTCACTAATGATCACCCGCTCGGCCAAAGCCTGACTTGTTTAACATTTTTCGGAGACGAAATTTTTGTAAACGTCTCTATTTTTTTCTACTCCGATCTACCATCTTCAGCGGAAATCTTCCATACAAGAAAATTAATTTTTGTTTTTGAAAATATTTTAAATATTTAGGAAAAACCCTGCTGTTTCTAAGGCTTGTAAAACTTACTCCAAATAAATCAAACCCTGTGAACTAATTTTGCTAAAAGACGACATGGCAATAAAATTATTAATTAAATTAATTTCCATAGCACAATTGTTTACTGCAGAAACAGAAACACTAGTAAACCACAAATTGTAGTAATTTTTATTTTAATAATCTGACATAATTGATCTCGATATTGTTAAAGTACTTTTAATTGATTCAAACTAATTCCAAAATCCACGGAAATTTTTAAAACATCCGGTAACTGTAGCTTCATAATAAGTATCTACGTATCATTATAATCATTAACATAAACATTAAACGTGTACCTAGATTGAGCTGGCTTGCCTGTAATTTTAACATTTGTTCCGAACTTATATTTTGAAATAAACTGTCTCAAGTTATGCCCATAATACAAATTTCCTGTAAATTAATCGGGAATGTTCAATAAATGTTTCACACATCAGAGGGACACTTAAGCTCGGTATCAATAAACCCATATAGGTTGATTAATGTTTATTTCCATTGCTTGCTTTGCTCTGAAGAAACAAAATTAATTTTATGTGTTTTATCTTTGAATTTTTAAGAAAACAGTTTTCAGTTACGTGACCTGACTTAAATCGAAAAATACATTGTTTATTTTATTTATTTTTTTTTTTTGACTAGCTAAGGCAATATCGGCATCATTATGAATGGTTGACTCTTAAATTTTTGTCTCGTTTAAAATGCTGAGAGTATTGAATTATTTTTAACCGACTTCAAAAAAGGAGGAGGTTATCAATTCGTCGCGATATTTTTTTTTCTTATTATGTATGTTCAGCGATTATTCTTTAACACGGTATCCGATTTCAATGATTCTTTTTTTGTTAGAAAGGGGGTATTTCAGGGGTGGTCCCATATAAATTTATTCAAAATCTAATAATTGGGTCCCTGAGAAAATCCTCAAACTCTTCATTTTTTTATGTATGTTTAGCGATAATACTTTATCACCTTGTCCGATTTATATGATTCTTTTTTTGTTAGTAAGGGGGTACCTCAGGGGTGGTCCCATATAAATTTAGTTAAGATGTGGTGATGGCATCTGCACGTTTTTGAAGTCGGTTTTTTTAAATTTTTAATTTCTAATACTTGTGGAGGAACAATTATCCATATAGATTTTCTCAAAATAGAAAATGTATATATCCTTTTAATTGTGGATTCTACTACTAAGTGGGTAGATATCTACATTATGGCTTCAGGGACAAATGCAGTAAAAACAATTGAAAAATTGAGAAACTCATTTGCTATTTGGTCTTCCCTCTACCATAGTATCTGATAATGGTCCTCCTTATAATACCGAGGAATTTCAGAAATTCTAGATCTAACGGAATTCAGTTAATTCACTCATCCTCGTTTTAATGGATTAGTTGAGAAAATGTTCAGCACTGTTAAACAGAATTTAAGAAAAAAGGAATCTCTAAGGGATTAAAAGTGATAATTCCTTTTGGGGGCCATTGTATCCCAATTTCAATTGATAAGGCCAATGAACTATGAAACACTTCAGCATAGGCTTGATAATTTTGTATTTATTTTTCGAAATACCCCTAGTTTTGTCACACAGACAAGTTGAAAAATAGCCTTAATTTTGAAAGATCGAAATAAACCGGTTTTGAGCTATAGCCATTTGTCTCTTTACTTATTGAATGACCCTCGTAGAAAACGCTAGATTTGGCGCCGATATTAATTCATGTTATTATATTTGTACTTGTAGTTGAATAATAGCGTTAATAAAGTGATCGTCCTAGCTAAGGTGTTTTACTAGTTCCTAAGAGAAACGGTTGCAGAGATATAACATTTTTTCGAAATTTATAGCCCCACTTTAGGCCTCCGTAACTCCTTAGGGGTGCAATTTAGTACAAAGGTAAGTTGCTTTAAATCATCATAATAATTTTGAGGTGAACAACACGCACCTGTTCTGTGACGGTATTTATGTGAAACACCATGTATAGCCTTAACAGTTTCAATCCCACATAAATAAAAAAACAAAAATTATCGCAACGTTCTCTGAAAAATATTTCCCCGTTTCAACCCCTGAATCGCACCTTTATAATTTTGTTTTACTCTTGCAATTGGTTTTGTTGTGACATCTACAGTATTTTTACTCTTCAGTTGCTTTTTGTGAATGCCAGAGCTTTTTTGCTCATCGGCAGTTACTTGCCGCTGCTGGTAACTAGATACATAGGTACGAAAAGCAAGAGCTTTCAAAACTTGTCATTTTTAAAGATAAGTGGAGAATTAAATGACATTTCGTTAATTAAAATGTAACCGTTACATTACTAAGGAATACATTTTACGTAAATCCATTCGATGTGGATAAAATTGGATTCAAAGAGTAGAAATAACAGTATAACAGAGTGAAAAATTGTTTTGGTCTAATAAAATGGTATAAATTTAATTTAATTTCGCAAAATTAAAAATATAAATCACAAACAGTAGTAAGTGTGACCTTGAATTACAAAAAAAGCGCGCAGACAATCTGAAATAGTCAAATAGATAAAAAGTTCCGGATTTAAACGGTTAATCTATAAAAATAATGATAATAATTCATTAGTATATAAAAATAAAATGAATAACATTAGAGTTTGCCGATTGTGTTTAGTGTTGCCTTACGAGAATAATACAAATCTGATTTGGATATTCGATAAAAAAATTAAAAAATATTTCAAATTTGATAAGAAGACATTGCAGTATGTTATATTCCTAACGACTGGTGTCAAGGTCAGTAATTTTTATTTTCGCTATATTTTATTATAGGTAGAGATAAAAATGTCAACATTTTTTAATTTTCAAATTAATAGATACCATACCTATACCTAATAGTTATTAAGGCTGATGAGCGGGAAATATTAAAAGACGATTTGTATAAGACAGTTTTCGTACTATTTAGCAATATTACAACTTTTAGAAAAATTCTTTTAAAATTAAAAATGTAATTCATGATCTGTCAAACACATTTGTCAGGCATACATATAAATTAATGAATCATATTCCTTCCTTAAACCAAAAAATATATTTTTATGCCTACTTTCATTTTGTTCCTGACGAAACTTTTTTCGCGGATAGTGTTTTGCCCAAAACTTGATATTTTTATTAAAGCTCAGAAATTTTTTCTTTAAATTGATTAATTAAATTTTTTGATAAAAAAAAAATAATAAATCTGTACATAGTGTCATCAATTTTGTTTAATATTCCAAGTATATTACTAATTAAATATTTATTAAAAAAATGTTTTACATTACTACAATACTGCAATAATATAATAATTTTTCCGCCTACCTCTATCCAAAGTATACATTTCCTGGCCTCATTGCAGGGAGCAAAGTCCCTAGGGAGGAAAAGTAAAAGTGACGTCATGGTATGTCATAAATGAAATGAAATGACCTAAACTATATTCTATTATATAAGTATAAATTTTACCGTTTATTTATAGAACACCCTGTATTTTGCAAAATAGTAAAAATCAATAAATTGTTATTTTAATTTAACGATTTTTACATTAATAATTTGACTTCAATTCATAGATTCATCCGATTTTCGAATTTAGGACAGAAATATTATAGCATGCTATGGTCGAATGACAGATCAGTTTCAAAGTGTGTTACGCTATAATATATCTACAAAATATATAATAATATTTAAAAAATGAGTGATTCAAGCGAATTTGAAGATATATATAATATACCACCGGATATTTTGGAATAGATTAATGCAACAGTACAATCTCTATTACCCCAAAAATCTAAAGAAAAATACGAAAAACAGTATTTACATTTCAAGCAATGGGCCGAAGAAAATTATTTAAAAATGACTTGTTATTTGAGGGAGGCGGAAAAATCATATGTATTACTTGGGAGTAAAGTGCCTTTTCCTCCCTTGGATGTTTACTGCCCTCCGCTTCGCGTCGGGCAGTAAACTACATCCTGCGGGAGGAAAAGTGGCACTTTCCTCCCTAGTAATACAAATAGCTATTAAACACAATATAAATTAAATGTAAAAATACAGTATGAATACAACATAAAAAGTAGTAATTATAAATTAAAAAAAAAAAGGTTAAAATTGGTGTCAATTTTCAAAGAAATATCATGGAATTCTCATAGGAACCGAAATATGCATGGGCTACATAGTATACAGTGTATAACAAATAAATTAAATTAATTCAGTAGATCAATAATTACTGTGCAGTTTTATAAAGAATCAATTTTAGATTATAAAATGATATCTCGTAACGTGGAAATTTCACCCCTACCTTCAACCGCTTTCGAGTACAGTTGCAACCACTAAATTTGTATATAAGAAGGAGGGGATTGTGATACCTAGTTTGAAAGGTCTCTTAGTTCTCTATTCCATAATACTTTGGTTTTCAAATTTATTGCAAAAATTAATAGTAAAAAAATAATTATTAATAGAGAACTTTGTTTTCGCAAGATAAAGTCGAAAGTAATGTTCTATTTTTTATTTACAATGTATATTTAACCAACATGATTTTTGTCCATTTTGCGTCACCTTTTTGACAAACTTTAGATAAATAACCGAGAATAGCAACCACACAAACGCGACATTAACTGTCGGTCCTTTGAAGTTCGGAGAGTAAAATTTTGTGACCTTGAATTTGACTTATGAGACGGATGGCCGGTATAATACACCGAGAAAAAAAATTAATGGAGCGTAACACTGAGAAAAAATACATTGAAAATAACATTTTACCTTATTTATCGTGCATAAAATTTATATAATAAAATATTGGTTTTTATTGGATGAGGTTTTCCGGATTTTCCTCACACGACTAAACTAGTTAAAATGGCAAACTGGCAAGTCATGTATGTGGTAAGCGTGTTGAAATTGAAATGACAGTTGGCCGGGTTTACCCCCACTCCATTTTTGGTGAGAACAGCTTTGTTGTGGTGTTGATATGTATCCCACTTTTGATTACGGAACGCAGCTTGACATCAGTTAGTTGTCAGTATCAGTGGTCAATGAGGCGACTGTCACTTCATGATGAAGACATCAACAAGTTGTATCGTTCATGACTGATGTTGAGAATTATAATAAAATACAATAATACTATATAAAGTATTTTAATATTATTATCGTACATAATAATACAGTTAAGATAACACTAACATCCTGTCTGCTACTATTTATCGCACATAAACAGGAACCTGCATCCTGTTGTTTAGTTCTTATCTCTTCGATTTTTTTATTGTTTATACACCAGACCACACTTTTTATTATTCCATCAAGTAGATTAATTTAAAATTTCAAACATTACGGATTTTGTGTTTGAACCATATTACTTGCATTTCTTTTACAAATTAAAAAAAGTGGATCTTATCCAGAGATAACAGATACAATTAATAAAAATTAATAAAAATTAATAAAAATTAATAAAAATTAATAAAAATTATTAAAAATTAATAAAAATTAATAAAAATTAATAAAAATTAATAAAAATTAATAAAAATTAATAAAAATTAATAAAAATTAATAAAAATTAATAAAAATTAATAAAAATTAATAAAAATTAATAAAAATTAATAAAAATTAATAAAAATTAATAAAAATTAATAAAAATTAATAAAAATTAATAAAAATTAATAAAAATTAATAAAAATTAATAAAAATTAATAAAAATTAATAAAAATTAATAAAAATTAATAAAAATTAATAAAAATTAATAAAAATTAATAAAAATTAATAAAAATTAATAAAAATTAATAAAAATTAATAAAAATTAATAAAAATTAATAAAAATTAATAAAAATTAATAAAAATTAATAAAAATTAATAAAAATTAATAAAAATTAATAAAAATTAATAAAAATTAATAAAAATTAATAAAAATTAATAAAAATTAATAAAAATTAATAAAAATTAATAAAAATTAATAAAAATTAATAAAAATTAATAAAAATTAATAAAAATTAATAAAAATTAATAAAAATTAATAAAAATTAATAAAAATTAATAAAAATTAATAAAAATTAATAAAAATTAATAAAAATTAATAAAAATTAATAAAAATTAATAAAAATTAATAAAAATTAATAAAAATTAATAAAAATTAATAAAAATTAATAAAAATTAATAAAAATTAATAAAAATTAATAAAAATTAATAAAAATTAATAAAAATTAATAAAAATTAATAAAAATTAATAAAAATTAATAAAAATTAATAAAAATTAATAAAAATTAATAAAAATTAATAAAAATTAATAAAAATTAATAAAAAAAATTCCAGATATCGCATGAAAACATTTTTCTCGAGTAACAAAAGCTGTTATTCACGTTTAATAATTGTTGAGGTTTGAGAAATTCCAGCGAAGCCGGATCGGGTCAGTTAGTTTGTACTATTAATAAAACATAAGTAATTTAATTATAATCTTACTATATAAATGCGAAAGTTTGGATGGATGAGTGTTTGTTTGTTTGTTGCAATCACGCTAGGACGAAAAATTATACGGTTGTCGTGGAATAGATTTGTTTTTTATAGAGCAAGGGAGCAGTCATTATTTTTGTATAGTGGTAGTGGAACAAAAATTTGAAATACAGCTACTGAGCATAAATGACGACGTATTTCAAGGTTTTTGGATTTTAACAATTTAAGCAGGGGGAAAAATAAATAAAAATAAATAAATAAAAATAAATAAAAATAAATAAAAATAAATAAAAATAAATAAAAATAAATAAAAATAAATAAAAATAAATAAAAATAAATAAAAATAAATAAAAATAAATAAAAATAAATAAAAATAAATAAAAATAAATAAAAATAAATAAAAATAAATAAAAATAAATAAAAATAAATAAAAATAAATAAAAATAAATAAAAATAAATAAAAATAAATAAAAATAAATAAAAATAAATAAAAATAAATAAAAATAAATAAAAATAAATAAAAATAAATAAAAATAAATAAAAATAAATAAAAATAAATAAAAATAAATAAAAATAAATAAAAATAAATAAAAATAAATAAAAATAAATAAAAATAAATAAAAATAAATAAAAATAAATAAAAATAAATAAAAATAAATAAAAATAAATAAAAATAAATAAAAATAAATAAAAATAAATAAAAATAAATAAAAATAAATAAAAATAAATAAAAATAAATAAAAATAAATAAAAATAAATAAAAATAAATAAAAATAAATAAAAATAAATAAAAATAAATAAAAATAAATAAAAATAAATAAAAATAAATAAAAATAAATAAAAATAAATAAAAATAAATAAAAATAAATAAAAATAAATAAAAATAAATAAAAATAAATAAAAATAAATAAAAATAAATAAAAATAAATAAAAATAAATAAAAATAAATAAAAATAAATAAAAATAAATAAAAATAAATAAAAATAAATAAAAATAAATAAAAATAAATAAAAATAAATAAAAATAAATAAAAATAAATAAAAATAATTAAAAACGCACTTGATACAACCAAGAGTTTTGGAAAAGAATTTAAACCAATTAAGTGAAATAATAATATACAGTGTGCCATAAAGTTGGATCTATATGGGATTTTTTTATTATTCCGATTGTAAAAAAACTTCGTAGGGCAATCACTTCTGCTTATTTAAAAGCAAAAAATAGCCCATATCAAAGTTGGCTACTGGTGTTAGTTTTCTGTGAAATTTGTGTTTAAAAAATTTTTTTTAACGATTTTTCAAACAATACCGATTTTGAGAGATAACTAATACCTAACCTAACAT